TTCATTCTGTGTCTGATGATATGATCAATATTTTTTCTGTTATGTACTGTTGTTCTCTCACTTCTGTCTTTCTTCTAGCCCAGTGGTTCTTAACCTGGGTTCGATCGAACCCTAGGGGTTCGGTGAGTCGGTCTCAGGGGTTCGGCAGAGCCTCCGCCATGACATGCATGGCTCACTTTGTGCACCAGTAAAAAACATATCTATGTCTTGAATTTGAAAAAAATCATATTTTATTTTTCACTAAAGAGGGGTTCAGTGAATGCGCATATGAAACTGGTGGGGTTCGGTACCTCCAACAAGGTTAAGAACCACTGTTCTAGCCATATGAAAAGGCCAGAAGGTGTGACCTCCTTAAATTCACGAATATAAGAATAACAATCTGCTATCCTGACTGACATCCAAGAATCCTGTGGTGATTCCTACCTAGTGATGTGACTCTGGGGTGGATACTGTCTCTTGAGTGTTTTTGATCACTGAACAACATCTGAACAACAACTGAAATGTTGTTGAAATATAATATATAGTCATTATGTTTCAAGAATTAAACATTTCATCTTATTTCATCTTATTGTTATTAGAAAAGTACTATGTAAGTACCAGTCAGTTTATCTTAATATCTGTTGGCCTGGCATAAAATAATGAACAGATTGCATCAGGGTGAATGATTCCTACTCACCCAGTCTGGCTTTTCTTGCAGCACAACCCACCACGGGAAGCAGAGTTTGTAGCTGCTTTGCTGCTGCTCTTGCCCTATGACAGCTGGGATAGGCTTCAGCGAACCCCGTGACCCTGAAAAGGATAAGCGGAAGCGAATGGATGGATATTATTATTATTATTAAGGTTCGAACGTATGGCTCCGAGTAAAGTGTTTTAACAGTTATTTGATAAATTACCCTTATTTTTATTTATTTATTTATTTTTTTACCATATGTATGATTTGTAATCACTTTGGATTTTCATCATCAGATGAACCATCGGATCAGATTTTTAAAATACCAGCCAAACCAGCAATGACATTTCAGGCACAGTTATGTAATTGTCAATCATAATTACAGAAACTAAGGTAATCACAAATGAATCCCTGGTAAACATTAGCGGGTGAATTAAGTGTTTCCTTGTCACCTTGGGTGTGCTAGTTAGCATATAGTGCTTCAGCTTGGCTTTTATGGTTCAGTAATATGCTGTGTAAAGCACATGGTTATTCTAAAAAGAACTGATCACAGATTGAGAGTAAAGTAGATGCATCATCAGATTGGGATGTACTTGTGTCTATTTGTTTTATGGGCTCTGTGGTTGGTGGTCAGCACATTTCTGCTGAGTAGCAAGAGGCAGAACAGTAACAGCTTCCCACAGAGTTATTCGCTCCAGCTAATGTAGTGGGAGGAACGTAGGAGGGCTGAATAATGAGTGATGCTTTAGAAGGGCAAAAATAAGAATGTTAGGGATGATCATAACCATATGGACACAGCGTTTAGCTGGGAGTGAACGAGTGAGCAATAGAGGAAGGGAAGTGAAGGGAGGGTTAGAACAAGAAAGCGGGTTGGCTGACAGAAAGAAGGGGTGAAATGCTGGCCAGAATCTGAAATGTCTGAGGATAAGGATGCTGGCAAATGAGGAAGAAATTGAAGTTAAGCCAAAGAGCTCACCGATGAGGGGAGAGCTGTGCTTTCTGTTTAGAATTTGAGGGAAGACAAAAGGCAGGGGAGAGAAGAAGAAGAAAATAAATGGGGAGGAAATAAGAAAAAGGAAGCA